TTAAATAAAAATATTCCTGAAAGTAACAAAATTCCTCCTTAATGGTGCAGATACGTATTGTAGCCAGTCCCCTTCATGGTTCTCTGTGTTTGTAGCTAGAGTTGCCACCCATCCGCTTTTACCCGGACAGTCCGGTTTTGGAGTCTCGTGTCCGGGTGTCCAGCCAGCGAGCACCCTGACACAAGATGCTCCGTACCGACACCGGCACTTAACATTTTCTGACAGATGCAGCTGCTGAGGTCCTCGTCAAGCACGATCTCGGGCAGCCGCATCTGCCTGAAACTGGATCTTCTTCTGAGCTTGGGCAGTCTGTGCCTGTATACAGGTGTCCGCAGCTCAGAGAAAGATCTGAGTTTCAGGCAGATGCGGCCGCCCGAGATCACGCTTGCCGGGACGTTGGCAGCCGCATCTGTGATTGCTCCTCCTTCTCCTTCTCTGGCTCCCTGACACTGTGCTGCCTGCTTGCGGACCCCTGGTTAGACACCATAGCCCAGACAGCCCTTAGTGTCGCACAGCTCCCCCGAGAGTCGCACAGCCCACCTGAGAGCCCGCACAGGCCACCAGCCCACCTGGAGACATCGGGGCGCCAGCCCAGAACAATACAGAGTATGTAGCTTCATGTTATTTTGTATTGCTATACTGCATAATGTATTGCTGGGATTTGTAGTCCTCTATAGCTGGTCTCCCTCTCCTCACTCTCTCCTATATTCTCCCCCCAAAAAAATTGCAGCACACAGCGCTAGAGTGTTCGGATTTCACTTGAAGAAAAGGTGGCAACTGTAGGTGTAGCCCATACAGCTCACGGTTTCCCTGTGTTGTACCAAATCCTTTAAGCCTATTCATGGTTTCCTATATTGTAACCTATCATCTTCATGGTTATCCATGTTGTAGACTGTTCTCTTCATGGTTCCCTATTTTGTAGCATGTGCTCTATAGGGCTGTCCATGTTTGAGGTTCAGAGATTGTATCCTCTTCACGACTGCTGTAAAGAGCCATTATGTAATCTGTTAGGGATTTCCTGTTGGCTGAAACAAGTTTGGCCGTATAAGACCTTACCCTAGATGCCGGCACCACATCTGAAAAGACTTGCTAAAAAGATTATGGTAATATGAACATAATCTTTACTAAATGACATTCTCAATATCTTTGTGCTTTCTATGGGCTATTTTTGGCCGGTTGTAGCGCAGTTGTGGTCCCATAGACATCTCTCTGCAAGAAAACCATGTAGTTTTCACAGCAAAATTGCGCAAAAAAAGCATGAAAACAGCTCATCTGCTCGATCACCTAGGTGTGTGCCAGGCCTTAGATGAAAGTTGAGAGGAAATAAAGCATTTTAGTTGTTGTCACCAGCACAGGAATAGAGGCAAAGTCTTTCAATGGAGGCACTTGTTTCAGTGACAACTGTCTAAAAGATGATTTTTGCTCACTTTGGAGATTTCATCTCACTTCCTGTTGTGTGTATTGGAGTGGAAGTGAATGAACATCTCCTAAATGGGGTACAGATGGCAAAAAAAATTACAAAAGTATTAACTATTCCTTACTTTATGAAAAACAAACAAAAAAAGTCTGGGTTTTATTTGCACTTTAATATATTTTTGCAATCTTTTTTCCCTTATGTTCACTTTCTAAAGAAGAAATAAAGCCACGGGCCTCGCCTAGCTTACTCCACGTTCCTGATCTGAAGCGCATCACCAAAAGTGAGTAATAGGGAAGATGGGTCTGCTGGGTGGAATCAGGGACATGGTTATGAAGCATGGTGTGAAGGAAGGACACTGTTGTTATGAGTAGCCAATGGGACTCGTGGTGTGAAGGAAGGACACTGATGTTAAGATTGACCAATCAGACTCTGAGATTATGAGTAAAAACATCTATTACTTTGTCTAAAACACTCAGGGAGACTTTATTTTAGTACTCTTAAAGAACATAGTTAGCATCAACACTCTCGTATTTGTGGTATTCTAATGATACTCATCTGGTATCAGGTGGTTAAGTGTGCCAAGTAAACATTGCCCTCTACTACCAGCCGCAACTGCTCCTAATGATTTCCTGTCTTTTTAGCCCATGCACTTCTTGGTTCTCCATGTTGGAGCCTGTCCTCTTTATGGTTCTCTGCGTTATAGCCATCTTACTCATGGTTCTATGTCTTATAGTCATCTTCTCCATGATTTCCTCTGTTGCAGCACATCCTCTTTATGGTTCCTTTGTGTTGTAGCTGTCTCCTTGGTGGTTCCTTTGTGTTGTAGCTGTCTCCTTGGCGGTTCCTTTGTGTTGTAGCTGTCTCCTTGGCGGTTCCTTTGTGTTGTAGCTGTCTCCTTGGTGGTTAATTTGTGTTGTAGCTGTCTCCTTGGTGGTTCCTTTGTGTTGTAGCTGTCTCCTTGGCGGTTCCTTTGTGTTGTAGCTGTCTCCTTTTACGGCTCCTTTGTGTTGTAGCTGTCTCCTTCACGGCTGTTGTAGCCAAAAGTCCACCTCTAGCAATGTTTTGGGACCATGCGGCCCCTTCCTCAGGCAAACAGAGAGGAACGGGCCGCATGGATCATTTGGAGTGCCGGTGACTTTATTATTTTCTTGTGTTGTAGCTGTCTCCTTCACGGTTCCCTTGTGTTGTAGCCGTCTTCTTCCCGGTTCCCTTGTGTTGTAGCCGTCTTCTTCCCGGTTCTCCATATTGTAGCCCATCTTCTCCATGCTTCCTTATGTTGTAGCCAGTCTGCTTCATGTTTCCACATGTCGTAGCCAATCTGCTTCATGTTTCCACATGTTGTAGCCAGTCCTCTTCATGTTTCCCTGTATTGTAACCCTTCTTTTTCGTGGTTCCCGGTGTTGTACCAAATCCTTTAAGCCCATCCTATTCATGGTTTCCTATATTGTAACCCATCATCTTCATGGTTACCCATGTTGTAGACTTTTCTCTTCGTGGTTCCCTATTTTGTAGCATGTGCTCTATAGGGCTGTCCATGTTTGGGGTTCAGAGATTTTGTCCTTCTCACGACTGCTGTAAAGAGCCATTATGTAATCTGTTCAGGGATTTCCTGTTGGCTGAAACAAGTCTGGCCGTATATTTGAGACTTTTGCACCAATCTTTGTGAACCTTTGATGACCTCACCTTAGATGCCGGCACCACATCTCAAAAAAAATTGGTAAAAAGATTATGGTAATATGAACATCATCTTTACTAAATGACAATTTCAGCATCTGTATTTTTGTGCTTTCTATGAGTTCTAGGTGTCTGTGGGGTGGCCCCTCTCTCTGCTCAGTGGCTCCTAAATCGAATTATCGGTGGGGAGGAAGCTTGCCCCAATTGCTGGCCATGGCATGTGGTGCTAATGATCAAGGGAAGTTTTGAGTGCAGCGGGGCGATTCTGTCACCGGACTGGGTGCTGACGGCTGCCCACTGCTTACTGTAAGCTGCGCTAAACTCAACTTCTACTATTGTATAAAAAAAATGTGAACATGTGACAGAATGAAACAATGTTTGAAGTATATCTAAAGCCAAAACTTTTAGAAGGCTTAAAACTGTACAATTGGGGCTGGATTTATTCTCTGCTGCTCCAAGGCCTGGTTCCTCAATGCGCCCCCTTACCGGCCAAACCCCTCCACAAATGGAGAATGGCAGACCTGCAGGCTGCAAACAAGTCATCTCGGCGACATCACTTGCATCGAGAGATAGGAATTCCACACCCTTGCTGCCCCCTGGTGCCCCTCTACTCCCTGCTGCCCCGAGGCCAGGCCTTGGTTGGCCTTGTGGCAAATCCGTCCCTGTGTACAACACACTGTAAAACACTGTACACCACTTAATGCATGAAGAACATCAAATATGGTAGCCCCATGCAGCTATACGGCCAGTGCAATCACAAACTACATATAGATTGATACTTGTTAAACATTAACATGCTGATAAGATTATTTAAATGAAAAATGACCTCATTGAGACAGTTTCAAGAGACAACTTTCACTTATTCAAGATGCAACTTACATCAGAGTATATACAACTACATGCAGTGATAAACTAATATAATTGTTTTGTTTTTTTTCCCATTTTCTTGCTGGTACTGGCACAGGTCCTCTGATACCTCCCTATATGTGATAATTGCTGGCATCCATGACCGATTCTTAAACAAATCAAGTGAACAGGTCAGTTCTTTCTTTCATGCAGGGCGGCCATATTGTTTTTCTGCACCCTTCCAATTTCTGCAGGTTTTGGGAACAATAGGTAATAGTTTAATATCCTGGGGGCCTGTACTGCTCTCTGTTACCTTTTTATCAGGAAGATCTCTTCCCTTTCAGGACAGTCTAGGTTTACCTGTGAGCCGCAAGCAACTCAGAACTCATGAAATAAAGTTATGACTGCAAACAAGCAATACTTACCTGTCCTGCTGTCTGCTCCAGCCAATTCCACTGGGTTTATGAAATAATCTTACACAAAGCTCTTCTGCATTTAACACATCTGAGAGTGTCGGATGCTGGCATCCCCCGCTGTGTTTCTGTGGTTTCCTCCATCAGCTATTATGTCACTACAAGACACAAGCTGGTAGGAGGAACCACAACGCACAGCAGGGGATGCCAGCATACAACGCAGAAGACCTTTAGACAAGAGCATCTCTTCAACCCAGCAGAGTTCTGGTGTAGGAGGGGGACAGGTAAGTGGAGTTTGCTTTGCAACAAGAAATGCATTTTATCTTTTAAAAAACAATGAAAGAGTTGCTTGAACTTGCGGTCCCTTAGATATGTTTATGGACCATTCACAAAGAAGCCAGTGACACCCTAATTAGTAACTGAGTGGATTCCGTTATTTGGAACTGGATATACACTGGAGTGGTGATCATTGAGAAGATGTTTTCCAGGTATTTGCCTCCTGGGCAAACTGTTCTGTTCCGTTATAATATGGTAAGGGGGGTCCTGTGGACCTTCTGCAGTCTGCCATTTATGGGAGCCCGATGACCAAGGATGGTCAGAGAGTGATGGTCATTGGCCAAATAGGAAATTGATGCACACTACTCAGTAATACACGATAATTAAGAAAAGTAATTCCTAATTATTAAATAATTCCTAATTATTATTCCGTATTATATTATAACACAGGGGGTTGGAAATCTTACCTGATAATTCCTTGCATCCAAAATAAAATAGATGCCAATCGGTTCCTTCCCACCATTGACCAGAGTCCAATTGCGAGGGACCTGAAGCCGATGCCCCACTCCCAAGTGAACTTGCCAGGGATCCAAAAGGATCCTTCATTAAACGTATAGAACAGTTTTCAAATATCCAAATATACCATATGTGGGGCTGGGAAGTTCACTTCACTGTAAAGTAGACATGTGCACTGGCAAAAAATGAGTTTAGCTTCGTTTTGTTTTGATTCGGATTTTGCGTTATTTTGTTTTTCTGGATTTGAGTCCGAAAGTCAATTCGTTTCGGGATTCAGATTTGGACGAAATTTCATTAGCAGTAGTCTGTACGAATTTTTCGTTCGTTGCAGTGAAGTGACATTGAAGACATTTTTTTTTTTTTAAATGTCACTTTGCTGCAACGAAAATTCGTCCACAAACGAAAATCTGTACAGACTACCGTTAACGAATTTCGTCCGAAATTTTGTTTTCGGAAATCCGTATTCGTTTTCATTCGTCATTTCTTTTATTCGGAAATTCTCCGAATCCCCCGAATAATGAAAATTCATCCCAAAAACGAATTTTTCCAAAAACGAATTGCACATGTCTACTGTAAAGCTCTGGCTGTCATGGCGGAATCAAGGATAGCTGAAATAATTGTTTTGTACTGAGTTGCATTGCAAGCATTATCACTTTGTTTCTCTTTGTCTTCTGCAGAGAAGAAATGTCCTGACTATCGCAGCTCATGAAAACTTTAACCCCCTCACCTATGAATATGATGTGGGGTTGCTTCGTGTGAAAGAGCCCTTCACGTTCAATGACTTTGTGCGTCCAGTCTGTCTGCCCAGAAAGGATGAGCCCATCGAGCCGTCCTCCCTTTGTGTGGTCACTGGTTGGGGCAACACAGAAGAAGGTGACTGCCCAAAGAAGAATAGTCATAAAACTTTCCAGGTTGAACTATCAGAATACTATTGCTATAGCTAAGAGATGTTAAAGGGAATGTCCACCCAAATCTAGTATTTCGGTTACTGGTGGGCTGTATCCCCCACTTACATCTCTTATGTCCATCATAACACCTTTAATTCCAACTTCCAACTCCAATTTTTATATTTTATTCCATATCTAGTTGGAAAGCTTTCCAGACGCTTGCAGCAGCTCCAGGTCCCCATTCTCAATTCCAAGGTCTGTAACACTACCTACTATCCCAGGATGATCTCAAAGCACATGATCTGCGCAGGGTTTCCAGACACTGGAGGAAAGGACACCTGCAAGGTGAGAAGATTATCTATCAATACTGAGCCTGGACCAAGTTATTAAAGTGGACCATTCAGTGACTTTTTAAGCAGTGCCGGATTGCTCACAAGGCCACCGAGGCTCGGCCTCGGGGTGGCAGGGAGCAGAGGGGGCGGTAGCGGTCTCCCGACGCCCGGAACATGCAGTTCCCTGGCGCTAATTTCGTTTTCTACATTTAGGCCTGCTTTGCACAAGCAGGGCTAAATGTAGAACGGGGAAACCACTTGTTTACAAGTGATCTCGGCGATGTCACCAAGATCACTTGTAATAAGACTGCAGGCTGTCTGTCCTCCCCCCGCACCCACCTCTTTCCATGCTGGCTCCGTCCTCCCGCCGCCTAGTATCTCTCCGCGCTGTCCACTTCAGGAAGGAGAGCGGGGAGCAGAGAGGCAGCCTTCCCCTCTCACCTGTCACAGGAAAACGAGCACAGTGCTGTGCTAGAACTCCTGTATTGGAGGTGACAGGGCCAATGAAGAGAACCTGTCACCTCCAAATGTACGTCTGTTCCGCCAATCAGTGCTGGAGGAGCGGGGAATCCAGTCTCTCCCCTGTCACGACAGAGAGCCGTGACTGGATCGAGAGATGAGCGAACGCCGGTATCTGTTTGCTCACTTCCCGATCTACTGAGCCGACCTGTGACAGTCTCATTGTCACAGGTCGGCTAGAAATATGAGGTGAGTGAAAAGCACTCACCTCATAGTTCTCCTTTTAAAAGCCAACCTCAAAACCCAGTCACCTCTCCAGTGATCAGACTGCAACATTGTAACGAGTCACAAGGTGATAGGCTTCAGCAGGGGATGCTCTGTCAGACATTTATGAACACAGGCACTGGGATTTACATGATTGTGTCATCTCTGAGCTGACATCTCAGTCCAGGAAAAAGATGGTGACTCTGGATGAACAAAGATGCTGCTGTCCTTCTGGAGAGGAAAGTAGATGAAGGCATTGTCACTGGGGAGTACTGTGATCTCTGTGAGAGGCAATGACAATTAGAAGAGTTACACTGACAAATTACTTGGCATGTATCTAATTAACTTGAATAAATATATAAAGACAAGCCATTGGCATCAAACAGCTATATGCACACCAAAAAGATATCCATAGGAATGAATAGCCATATTCTTGTACCTGTGGTGTGCCCAACTGCCCAATAAATGTAGCAAATCTTTGTAGAAATTATTTCAAGTTGATCTAAGCCCTAACCAGAACACATTTAGTATTCTAAACACTGTGTAATGTAAATAATTGACATGTTTATTTATTTGTTTATTTTTCAATATAAAATACTGTTTTTTTTAAATTTCATTCCCTTTTTTTTTTTTATCTCAGTGCAACCTTGTTACAGCCACTTCTTGTCTACATGTATTCGCTCCAGTGGCCACTGTGCCATGTCATGTTGTTGATGGTGACAACAGTGGACCCTGCATTGGCAATAAGCGCCATCATGGCTGCTTACAACCCATTCATTATGAGAGCGTGAGACAGGGTTACAATGCACAAGAGCAATTGGGAGACAGTTGTCACCTTTATAACAGGAAGTGCCTTAGCACCTTAATGGCAGGATCACCAGGTTTTTTTAATGAAAGCTGCAGATTTGAAAAGGTTGCAAACTACTTTTAAAATGACATTAAAACTTTTATTTTGTAACTTTAGCTCATTCCATTCCTCCCCACTCCATATCAGAAAATCGCTTTTTCTATGTATTTTTCCAAAATCCCTTTTTTTTTTTTTAGCTCTTCCACTGTCCACCATCCTACATACTCCCTAGCCTAGGCGAGAATGGCATACCCTGGGCCACTCGTACCCTCGGATATTTACATCATATATCCCAGAAAGCTGCAGGCATTAAAGCTGAACTCTGGCTCCACAAACTTTCTTCTCAATATATTCCTCACCAACCACAAAGTATATACTTTTACCTTGGAAAAGCAGCAGAGACATCATCACTGTGCTGTGCACAGAGTGCTGATAGAAGAGATGTGGGAGGGGCACATCAGGCTCCACCCACTACAGACCTCCTGTAGAAAAGTACAGGAGGGGGTGGAGACAAGACCAGATACCCTGCACAAGAAGAGAGAACAGCAGTGACCGGTCTTCTTTACAGGAAGCTCCTGCACAGAGCTTCCTGTATTCAAGACTGGTCAGTTCTACTCTTTATCTTTGTGCAGGGTGTCTGGTCTTGTTTAGATCTGGAAGAAAAAGACAAAGCTCACCAAGGTTCAATTAAGAATACACAACTCTTGTGTACATAGACAATATTTGCTAATCACCAATTTCTACCTCATCTCTGAGCTCTCACAAGATTTACTTGTTTTCGCGATAGCTTGCGTACTTGTTGCCATAGGGTCATAACGCGACCATCCGCTGAAGTGTCTGATACCGTGGTAAGGTTTAACTAAAATGATGGCCAGCTAGATCTCCAGCGGTGCATGTGCAGGATCTAGCAATACATCATTAAGCAGGCGGGCTGCAAAAGGGCCAGTTTTCAATACTCCGGTATCCAAAATGGTGGCGTGGGACAAGCAAGGCTGCATGAAAACTTCAGCGACAAGTAATACATCAGTGGAGAACGTAGATTTGTAAGGTTGTATTATTTTATTGTAACGTTATTTTAGAAACTGGGTTTACATCTACTTTACATATACCTGGGCTTATTTAAAAACAAAAAGCAAAATTCAACAACGTCCTACAAAATGCAGTAACCCCTTGTATCCAGATTTCAGTTGGGTCAGTGAATGGTGACTTGTGATTGGCTAATTGAATAATCTCGAACACTTTCATTCCAGGGAGACTCCGGAGGTCCGCTGGTCTGTCTCAATACGGACAACTCCTACGTAGTTGATGGCATTGTCAGTTGGGGTGTTGGCTGTGCTAGGGCGAAGAAGCCGGGAGTGTACACCAGAATCCGCTCCTTCTTGAGTTGGATAAAAGACACTCAGCAAGGTAAATGATAACCTGTTCAAAAGCAGTATGACCTCAGAGGGAATGTCTGCGTCCCTGCGGCTTGATATAATTGTAATCTTCTCTCTTCTTGTATCTGTTACAGGAAGACGCAACCAAATAAGTGGCCAACTGACCCTGCCGGAGGGACTGAGGAATTTAAGGCTAGGGATAGCGCCCTCTGCTGGTAATGGTGGTAGGTGACCAATTAAAGTGATATGAAAGTCAAAAGGGTTTTAAGCTATTTAAAATGCTGATGAAATCACTTGGATGCTGCTCTTGATGTTTAAAAGCTTTAGTTTCCTGCAGAATCAGCTGGTCCCCTGAGCAATGCCCCTGATATCCTTTTTTAGGGTGGCTCCTTTCCTTTGCAGGATCCTATGGAGCCACCCTTGTAGGTGTAGTAAGCGGTGTGTGATTCCATAAACACACAGGCACAGCAATAAAAGCCACTCTCCTCTCCACTGTTCCCTGCTCATCCCTCCTCCCTTCTCCAAGCTAGTAGATGGGCAGCTGCTAGAGACTGCTCGGTTCCTTTGTGATCTTGTACTAGATAAGGAAGTTCAGGAAAGCCAAGCTAAAAGAGTTGGAGCCGATTGGAAACATGAGGACTGTAAGGCTGGGTTCACACCTGGGCGTTTTTCAGCGCTGATCGAATCGCTGAAAAACGCTCAGCAAGTGAAATCCTATAAAATGCTATGGGCATGGTCCCAGCGCTGCTGAAAAACGCCCGAAATAGTACTGGTGTTTCTTTGGGGCGGATTTCAGCGCGTATCCATTGGACCCAGCCTGATAGATTTCGTAACGCACGTCAATTGTGCATTTCGTGGACCGCAAATCGCGGTATAAACGCGTGGCCCAAAACGCGCGTCAAACGCGCATATTAAGAGCGCCCAGGTGTGAACCCAGCCTAAGTGCTTGTCCAAACAGTTAAATAAATATTTTGCTGGGCAATGTATATAGAGCTCTAGGAAGGGGGTATATTCCCCGAAACGCGTCACCTAGCAAGGCAGCTTTGTGTGGGGTCTAACTAGTACCATTCATTCAGTGAATACCATATGAGTAGTATTTTATGTCAGCTTGAATGTTCATTGATTAATAAACCTGTATTTCACGAGGACAAGGCGCTGTCTCTTTTGAATGTATATATGTTTGATCTGGATTCATTATTGAAAAACGCACGCGCCTGTGTAAGCAAAAATCCTTGCACCGGCCCTGCACTCGGCAACTGTCCTTCCCGGGAGCGACCGTGCACGGAGCTGTAAGTGCCGGCCATTTCTTGTGTGAATGAGGACTTTCAGGAAGTGTGCCAGGACGTCAGAACATAGGTAGAAACAGGGACACCAGCACTCCAGTTGCAATGCAGAAACGTGTATTTATTGACGAAGTGCAGCATATCGCACTAATGCAACAAACGTTTCGGGGTCACGCAGGATCCCCTTCCCCAGGCAGAGGCTATGGGAACAGTGTAACTGAAAGGAGGGCAACAGAGCCAGAGAGCGCAGGACAGGGCCGGCCTTAGGGGTGTGTGAGCACCCAAAGGCGCCAGGCGGCCGACACAGCTCGTCCTCCGGTTGGCTTCTCTCCTCCTCACCGCTGGCCATCCGACATGACAGCACTCCCTCGTCCAACTCCGCCCCCCCCGGGGAGGGGGCGCAGGAGGGAGCGCTGCCTGCTGTCGGGATGGCCGAGCGGTGAGGGGGAGAGAAGCCGCGCCCGCAGCTGTCAGGATGGCCGAGCAGGTAGGAGATCGGAGCCCCTGTCATCCTATCAGTTTCAGGATGACAGCGGCTCTGTGCGAGGCAGAGCGGGAGATCGGTAAATATCAATGATCACAGCCTGTTCATTCAAGATTTCCTCAATGGGGAGAAGGACTCAGTACAGAGGCTCCTCCCCATCCAGAAACTATTGATAGTAAATATGAATGGGAAGCCTCTGTACTGAGAGCTTCCCATTCACTGAGTGATGAGGCTGTTAACGTTTTCATTCGTTTAATCAAACAAAACAAATTTTTATGCTATTTTGGATTCAGCCATTGGTGTGTTCTGGAGGCAGGGCACACGACGTCGTATAACACCGCACGTGTTGGGCACCACCATCTTGGTGTATATCTAGGTATACACCAAGATGGTGGGGCCAATATCGGCGTGTGACGTCACCTGACGCCACGCATGCATGGCGTCATGTAACGTTATGCTCGCCACCTCCAAGAGGGTGGTACGCATTCACAGAACATGCCGGTGGCCAACATGGCTGCCGCACATTCTCAAACCAATTATTATGCGCCTGAAAATATTTGTTTTTGAATATTTTTGTTGTTAGGTTTAGATACACTTTAATGAGCACATGGTTTTACGCCTCTGTTTTTCTTGTTTCAGTCTTTGCAGATAGATGAGAGACAAACTGGTAAGCTAGGGAACACACCGACACTTTTTTAGATTTTAACATTTAATACATGTCAAATACATAGAATGAAAAACTTTTTGACAGCCCCCATCCTTCATCCCCAGCGCTGTAGTTTTCCTGCAAGCCTACGAAGTGGCACAAAGCTATACTTTACATTCTTGTCTCAGATGCATCTTCTTGTGTCTCTAGGTTGTCCAAGTCTACAGGTCCTCCCGGCTTGGTCTGGTGATCTCAAATCTTCCGGCTATCCAATCACCTACATGAATGGCCTGGACTGCTGGTGGACTCTTGACTCTTCCTCTGACCATCGGATCCAGATTTTCATCATCGATTTATACCTAAAGGAGTCCCCAAACTGTACCTGGGACGCTCTGAATATTTATGATGGAGCCAGTAATCGGACACATTTGTTGGGTAGGTGTTTTATAGGTGATGGTCAAGGGACATGTATCTTCAGTTGTCAAGACAGCATGGTGATTAAATTAAGGCCTCATTCACACGAGAAACGGCCATCACATACAGATCCGTGCTGCTTGCACAGCTGTATCGGGCAACTCCCGGGAAGGACAGGTGCTGTGTGTGATTTAGTGCGCAGCCCCTGTCCTTGTCTATGGGACTACGCGGCCGTTTGCCGCCCTATGCTCACCCGCCCTGCATGTCCGTGCGGGTGTCCGTACTCGTACGCTGACACGATGTATCCTGTCTGCGTCCGAGTTGGGACCCCCGCACCCGTACAGACCTGCACTTGGGGTGAGCGTAGGGCTGCGTACGGCCACGTAGTCCCATAGAGAAGGATAGGGGCTGCGTACTAACCACACACAGCACCTGTTCTTCTTGGGAGCTGCCCGATACGGCTGTGCACGCAGCACGGAGCTGTACGTGCCTGCTGTTTCTCGCGTGAATGAGGCCAAAAGAGTAATAAACTAAAAAAATTGCTTTGAGTCTCTTCTGCCAAAAATAATCTCTTTCCCCCAGCAGTTTTGTATTTTTCTGTGCACACTGTACACACTTGCCATCTGTAAGATGCCAGGTATGGGCCTTTTGCATCCCCAGTACACTCTGCTCTCCTCCTATCAGCATGCCATTAGAGCTGCAGCACAAAATATTTGCTTCTTGTACTGCTTCTTCTTCCTCATACCCCATTTCTGCTGCGCAATGGCTGATACCAGGTCAGAGTCATGTATTTATACTGCTTGCATTTAAAAAATACATTAAATGATGAATGAATAAATACAATGCTGTTTTAACTTGTATCTTTTGGAGTTAAGCTTTAAGTGAGGTGTAGATGGCCACCACAAATCCTCTTTGAGTAAAATGGCTTCTGTTATGTTCCAGGTTCCCTATGTGGAAATGTGTCCAATTTGACTTTACAGTCCAGTGGCAGCCACTTAACACTCCACTTCCACACTGATGAGTCTGTTACGGGCCGCAGGTTCCACCTCCATTATAGCGATGTCCCCGCAGAAACACTGCGAGCCCAGGAAACTGACAGAGAAAATGGTGAGTTTTGGTCTTTAAAGCTGGCCATACTCCAGTAGACTTCCATCAGAGGGTTCATTTTCAGAACATTCATTGATTTTCTAATTGTTAATGGCCGTAAATCGACAATCATTTTCTACCATAGTGAGCCGAAAAATCGAAGAAGCAGGAAATTTTTTTTTCTCAAAAACTAATAATAATCATAATGCATTCTATATTTGGGAAAACCTTAATCCAGATTAGGACTTTTGTCATCCTGAACATGTAAACTATTATATATTTTATAGGAAACTATCAAAGAGCAAGGCAGATAAAGTGTTTTCTAGTGTATGCTCGATTGTATTCGATTGAATCACAGTGTAATAGATGTGGAATATCCAGTATTTCCTCATGGGATGAATAAATATTACATCATTTTTGTGCGTCCTGAAATCTAATGCTAGACTGACACATTGGCATGACAGTTGAACAAAATATTATAGCAAATTTGTTGGGTCGATGATAGTACCATCAAATGCTTAGATCTTTGTGCACTTCCTTATGAATATTTAATAGAAATTCTTACGGCTTTTGGTTTGTTTTGATTTTGTAGTATGTACCCACCCTGCCTTAGGGGTTGGTTCAGACCACTTAAAGTGCGTTCCAGCGTGGTTAGCTGCCGGAACACACTGGATTGCATCCTGGCTGGCTCACTGTGTTCTGAGGCATGGCGGTGCATTCCAGTCAATGGCACCGCAGCAACACCCCCCACCCGCAGTGCGATCGCCCGCACCAGAACGCATGGCACATCAATGCCTGCGTTCCGGTCCAGTGTGATTGCAAAAAGTGCAGCACTATTTTTTGCGATTGCAGTGGACCGGAACGCAGGCATTGATGTGCCCGTTTTCTGTTGCGGGCGGGGGGTTTAGCAGCGGTGCCATGGACTGGAATGCAACTCCATGCCCCCTTCCACCCCAGAACGCAGGGAGCCATCCAGGATGTGATCCAGTGCGTTCCAGCAGCTAATTTGGATGTGGGGGCGCACTGGGGGTCCCAGAGTGCATTTTTGGTTGCTGGGCCTCCAGTGTATCCCTGCACCTTGTGACGAGGAGTAGGCTACCTCCTGGTACACCTGCATTTAATTTATCGACTGCATCAATATGCTCCCACTTGGAGACTCGTATAAATAGAGTTAGGACCACACTTTGCAGAGGAGCCTTGACGGTGGCGGTGTGGCTTCTACATATTTTTGGCCAAAGGTTTGTGCAACTAAAACCTCTGCTTTTAACGCATACTGTTAGACAGGGTAATATGTTTTGTTGCAGGCTAGCTGGCAGGTTTGCTGGGGACCTTTTGTGTTTTGTATTGTTGTAAGCCTTCCCATGTGCACCCAGCTACAAAGGCTGGTTATAAATGTATGCGGTTACCATCTTTTTCCAGCAGCTAACCACACTGGAACACACTGCAAGTGGTGTGAGCCTGCCCTTAAGCAGGAGTGACTATTTACATTTTGGCTGTGGTCAGTCTGATCTTGATGGGTGTAACCTGGCCGCAGAGCAACCAATAATGATTATGTTATGAATATATACTTTATGTCACCCTAGCCAATCAATAGTAGGTTCATGGCCAGTGGTGCATGCAGGGAGAGGACATAAATATTCGGGGCTGACCATGTGGGGCTCTCTTTCTCCCCCAGGCCTCCTGTCTGTGGGAGGGTGCTGTGGGTTGTCTAACACTTCTAGGCTCGCTGCCTAGGAAGAGAAGCCATGTGTTCAGACTGAAGCCTCAGTCAGTGAGGGTGAGGATGGAGATTACAGAGAACAGCTTCTGCTGGTACATGCTGCTGATCTTTTGCTTGCAGTAAATTTATTTAACACCTTTTGGGAGAGAGGGTTATGGCACAGGACACCCATGGACTTGCATACTTCCAAACGAGGACAAAAGTACTTACAGCCAGCACAGATAAAAAAAATCTTTAAGCTGGCCCAGCATTCTACAACAAGAGCTCCTGGCTGTACTTAGTGAACTTAAAGGATAAAGCCCCCCCCACTGCTAATATAAGGACTAAATGATGCCTCTTGATCCGAACATCTTCTGCTTTCCTGTAGTTTTTAGCAGTCCCTCCAGAGCTGGAGCCAGTCTCCGATCCAGTGCTGACTCCTCTGTGCTAGCTGGCATTTCCTGTCCCACGGAGTCTGTGTGGGTGCACGCTGCTCCATAGACTTACCTTGGGTCTCTCCTCGTCTTCCGGCCGAAGATCTGAACTGCGACTGCGCCCGTCCCAAAGTCCTTTTCAGCCGCCCGAGAATTTTCAGATGTTTGGGCGGGAGCCCTTTTTTGAAAACTTTTTTTATTTTTAATCGTTTTGCATATAATTACTGCTTGCTAGCAATAGATACATGCAAAAACTGCTGGGGTCAGTCAATGGGGAGAAGTCGCCATACTAGAATCAAGGACCAAGCTTCTATCCAGCTTCTCGGGCTTCTTATTCTGGCTGACATTCCTCCATGGCATCTCCATCCTCACACTCTAGGCCTCAAACCCATGCCTCTGTCCAAGCACATAGTCACCTTCCTCAGAGTATCAGACAATCCACAGCATCCCACCCCCAGGTATGAGGCCCAGGGGAATACTGGCTTCCCAAGGTCAGTCCTAAACATTTATACCCTCCGTCAACATGCACCACTGGCAATAAACCTCCTAGCGGTTGGTCAAGGAGGTGCAAACATTCCTCACTCTGATTACTACAGTCTCCAACACTGTTGAATACCTTGAATGTTCTAAATTATTTATTTAATAAATTATATATTTTGTTCTTAATCTAATTTAGGTGTATTGCTCCTTTTTAAAGGTAGATAGCTTATATATTTTTTATGTTTTTAAAGGAAACTGTGGGAGGTCACTGATCGATCCTATGCCGAGAGGAGCCCCTATCACAATACCTGAAACTGTTACTCATGAAAGAGGGACAGGGCGGATGGTCGGAGGGCACGCTGCCACCTGGATGTCATGGCCATGGATAGCCAGTATCCAGAACAAAAACGGGAAACACTACTGCGGAGCAATAATCATCAGTGAGAGGTGGCTAGTGACCGCCGCGCACTGCAGATTCATGTAAATATTTCATATAAGGTCTAACTCATGAGTAGAGTTGAATGCAAATTTTGGATGACATTCTATTCGGACCGTATTTCACGGATTCAGATATCTGAAGTGGAATTTCGGTATTATTTTTGATGGTTCAAATTTACAAAAGGCTTCTAAAATAAAATAACCAAATACTGCTCCAATAGGCATTTTTTTTTTTTAACCAATGAAAGGCCATCTTTATTGCGCTTCACACATAAAACAGTAGTGAGATGGTTACATGTTTCAAGCCCTTCAGCTGGCCATGCACTAGATTTCCAAACGAACTTTCGTATCAACGATCTTTCTTTACCACCCGATAATGCCATCAGCAGAATTTTGTTCCTTCGAGAAACATTTTCCATCCTGTTCCTTCAAGTTTTTTAGTCACTCTGGTCAATATTGATTTATTGATTTGACCCCATCAACTAATAGAAAGTCGATGGAAAGCACTTTTGAAAATCCAAGCAGTGCACGGCCAGGTTAAAGCTGGCCATACACCTATAGATTATCTGCAGGTTTTCTATGGTCAGATGGAAAAAGTGCTACTGATTCCTCCATCTACGCTAAACTGTTGGGATTTCGATTTTTGAATAGCACTTGTGGATTGGAAATTCTGAAGGTAATTCATCCATCTTGTATTCACAGTGTTGGGTCAGACCAAGTGTTTGTGGGAGTGACCGACCTTTCACAGCCAGAACGAACAGAAGCCTTTGTGAAACGCACTTTCACACATGATCTTTACGACACAGAATTTATTCCTCCCGAGTATGACCTCCGCCTGCTGGAGCTTGAGACTCCTCTTGCTCTGGGTAAGATTTCTTTTGATAAATGAGTGTGTATTTTCACTGAGGCATATTTGGAGACAGTGGCACTTTACTTTATGCACAGGAAAGGGGCACTTTTTAGTTAATATCCCCCCCATGAAGCCCCGTAAGTGGCGAAACATGTTGGGGTACACTGAGCACTTTATCTAATGGTGGGGAGCTCTGTAGGAAGTAATAATAGGAGTAAGTTCACATCCTGTCTTGTAGACACAACAGGAAGTGAAATAAATGTCACCAAAACAATTGAGAGTTCCCTTCCTGTTCTGGTGACAGCTGTCAATCACTCTGCCATCATCTTCTCTCTGCGGTCTTCTGTCTGCTACCATTGGCTAGCCATGGATGACGCAACTCCAACCACTGAATGAATAAATCAGTAGGCCCCAGGTCATTATAACTTTGATACCCTTATTTGGACATTACTAAGTGCACCCATGGTGACCCCACTAGTGTGCTGAGCAGAATAGTTTGTCTGGTGAAGCAAAGGCAGGGCTGGCCCTATAAAGGGCAAGCCTGAGGCTGTTGCCTCAGGTGGCATCTCTTTGGGTCACGCAGAACCTGCCGCCCCGTTTCCGGCCAGAGCGTCCCAAGTTGCTAACAGCTGGGTGGGGTGAAGTGTAAAGGCCATACACATCTCCCCTCCCAGCTATTAGCAACCTTGTATGCTCTAGCCGGCGCCCCGCCAGTGACGTCCGTGAGCTGGGCGGGACGCTAGCTAGACCTGGGCAGTGCACCACCATGACACCGGCCCGAGCACCATTAGAGTGCACCCAAACAACCCCCTTTCCCCCAGAACGTGACCACCAGCACCCAACCCCGGTGCTCCCCCCAGGTTTCAGGTGGCGATTTATACTAGGGACAACCCTAAACGAAGGGGTCCGATTCCCTCCTAACATGGTGGAGAGCACGTGTAATGTTTCACCTTTTGTGGCTCTGACATGAAATGCTGGCTGCTAGACGTGTGTGTTCCCTTTTTGTTATAACTTCAAATACAGATGTCACCAGCACACCGAGACTCTCAAGTCAGTGTAAATCTATTTAATGGAAATGTCACTCAGAAAATCAAGCGCTTTCGGGGCCACACAGGGTCCCCTTCATCAGGCTCAGAGTAGACACTGTAGAATAGCCAACCATAGCTATAACAAGCGAATGAGATCAAACCATTGTTCATATTATGAATTGATTTTGTATTAGAAATGAATTTTTACTATATTTATGAATCAACTGATCTTATTTCTGGATCAATTCCCCGGTATTTCCCAGAGGTCACCTAAAAGCCCCTTTCTCTTTTGTTGGCATATATTGTATATAGGGGTGGTGTCTCTGTTTGTGTGATGGTTCCTAATTTTTGTATTACTGGGCGAATTTTAAAGACTGAAAACCTTCAACTTTCCTTGTAGGTGCAGCAGTGGGTATTATCTGCTTACCTGAGAAAAGCGAAAAACTTTCATATACCAGCTGTCTGACGGCAGGGTGGGGAGCTGTGAAAGGTAAACCCTGACGATGAACTTCTCCCATTTGCTCTCTTCTGGTCCATTGAATATACCATCGAAAGTGTTTGGTTTTCTTATATCTCTTTAATAAGTGCGTAAAATACCTGTTCATCCTGCCAGAAATCATGAGAGCTGATATAGTCTTGTGCTAACTGTCTGTACTACATTCCCATCAGCTACATTGTTTCCAGCTGTCTCTGAGGACTACAGATCCTCTACCCTCTACTATGGAGATGGGAAAAGAGGGAGGTGTTCTGTAGTAATTTCCTAGGCTGACAATGCTGCACATCCAGGGATACAGCACAGCAAATGAGTGTTGTCACCTTAAGACAGGAAGTTTTTTACTGGCAGGATCACCAGGTAACAATAAAGGGAATGGCAAAAAAAAAGAATGCAGCCACCACATCGAAGGACTGGCGAGCTGCGTTTTTGTTACATGTTTAGATACAGGAGGCTGAGAACTGAAGGAAAGGCAATCTTTATTTTTATTTTTTTTTTACACTGTTTCAGATACACAAATGAAAGTGATCGGCTTAAAGAGGAACTATAGGCTAATAATAAAAATAAACCCAAAGATTTTTATACAATTTATATATCAAAATAAAATAATTAAATGTATTTTAAATATACCCTGACGGTAAAGAGGTCTGGGCACCCCAATAATGATTAGGTAATTCCATTGTCCCCTCGATGTGGTGGAATTCACACTGCTAGACGGGATAAAACAATATTAACAGTTTAAATATATCTGTCTTCAGGGGACCCCAAAAGTCCATCAAATTACAGAGCACCAGATATCTACCAATCAGGCCTCTGTGATTGTTTTATGGCAGGCCTCATAGTAAAACATTAATTAAGCCAGAACTCCAATTTAATTATCACTTGACAGGCCTAGTTAACACACAGGATGGCTTAGCCTGATAATGGGCAAATACTTTGGACCCGGGGGGTAATACAATAATAACTAATATATCTATATCTCTGTCATTTAATCCTGAGCACAGGCATACTACATATGGTGGGTTTAGAAGGTCCAGAGGGCTAAACACCCACATTACCCCTCCTGAGGCAGGCACACTTCACAGGTATGTCAAGTTTGGTATCTATACAAAGCCTAATTCATGAAACACAATAATCGATTGTTTATCAGGTGGTACTGTGTGAATATATATTACAATATGGCTATGGTTAGGAAATTGACAGTTTGGCTGGTAAGCAGATCAATAGAAACTTCAGCCCTTCTCACCTACCTGAGCCTTCCTGATTGGGTGAGGGGCTGGCTAAGTGACTCACCCTAGAGGTGCCCACAAAAAGCTGCTGCACAAGGCAGCTAGGAAGACCTTGTTAACCATCAAAGAGAGGCTTTTTTGTACCATCAAGCAGAAGCTATCATTAACAACACGAACCTTTGCTAAGCCCTACCTCAAGAGATCTTATGCTTGTGCACAGTTTGTAGTTCTATATGTACATGGAGGCAGTGATATTTGCCCATCATATAGACAGACTCTGAGATGGGAATTTTGTTGCAGAAAACCACATATAGCCAATGTCCTTGTTGTACCGTACTCAGACTACAACTTCCATCAGCAACCACATGTGTGCAGGTCTTTCCCTGTCCTATTAACATTAAAGCTAAAGCTCCTGGAAAAGCAAATACTGTCTAAATAGAAGAGTCATGTGTATTCTTACTTGAATCTTGGGGAGCTTTGTGTATTTCATCCAGATCTTTGCAGTAATCCAGTGTGAAACTTGGGGCTTTCTGTAATAAAGACCGCTCACTGCTGTTCTCTCTCCTTGTACAGGGTGACTGGTCTTGTCTTCGCCCCTTCTTTAGTTTTCTGCAGGCAGCCCTTAGTGGGGGGAGCCTGCTGGGTCCCTCCCATGGTTCTGCTCTCTGTACAGTCTTTGTACAGCACAGTTATGATATCACTGCTACTTTTAATAATTGGGTTTGCAAAGGTATTGTATGCTGCACACAAAGTTAAGTTTTATGCTTGGTGGATATTAGGGAATAAATTTAAATAAGAGTTTTCATGCCTGGAGTTCACCTTTTCAATAATGACTCTGTGGAACCTATCCACCCCTATGGTGCCCCTGCTATCATGAGAACGTAGCCCCAGCCTTGTTGTGATTTAGCGTCTACAATACTCCGTATCTGTTTTTTGTTTAGGTTCACAGTTTCCTAAGATACTGCAGCAAGCGAGGGTACCTCTGGTGTCGAAAGAAGAATGCCTGAAATTCTGGGACCAGGACATTACCGAGGGCAACCTGTGTGCGGGGGCAGCCGGCGCCTCATCTTGTTTGGTGCGAAATTCTGCTACTTTAAATGTTGCTACAGCCCGTCATCTCTTCCTGCTGACACGACTGCCAGGAGCATTTGCTTTAGTCCAAATAAAGCTCCAACTTACAAGGAAGCGGTCATGAGACAATTATATGGGCTGCTGTTATGGCTTGTTTTATGCAGATTACTTTCATGTGCAGCTGAACATTCAGTTTAAATGAGCCAAATACATTTCAGCCGCATCAAAACAAAAGGTGTGCAAAGTCCTGCAGTTCATTTTCTGTAGAAAGCGGCCACAGCCTGAGTAGAAAAGCCTGTTCCCTGCCAGCATGCTGCAGAGAAGGACCTGTGCTCTCTGTGTGGAAGCAGTGGTCTTTCGGGAGAGCTCCGACTTGCTCCCTGCCGAGAGCTCTTGCTCTGACTCAGGAGGTAGGGTATCGTACCTCTGCAGAGAGATCACTTCTTCCAAACAGAGAACAAGAGTCCTTCTCTGTAGCATGCTGGCGGGGAACAGGCTTTTCTCCTCGGGATGTGAAAGCAAACTGTAAGACTTTAAACACTTTTTTTTATGTACCTGGAATGTATAAACAAAGTTGAGCTGGGCTTGTGACCCTCTAAACCAGGGGTAGCAAACCTCCGGCCCTCCAGCTGTGGTGGAACTACAAATCCCATTAAGGCATTGCAAGATTCTCACAGCCACAGACATGACTCCCGAAGAGAGATGCATCATGGGATTTGTAGTTTCACCACAGCTGGAGGGCCGGAGGTTTGCTACCCCGGCTCTAAACCTTCCGATCTATATACTTGTTCAAGTTCATTGCAAGAAACGAGGATTTCCCTGACAGCCAAAGCAAGTGGCATTTTGTAAGATCGAAAATTGTGGTCTGATATCAGACTGAATGGGTAGCAATTCTCTAATATTGATGTGCTAACAAGCAAAGTTATTTGAAAGCAGGCAATGGTTAGTAACCCTGTCACTTTTTATTGCTGTCTGAGTCCCCAGTGCAGAGATTTACCCCACTCCATTAGTCCTTGAATCTAATAGGAATAAGGAATCAAAAACCTTTTAGAGTTGTAACCAGACCAAGAGGTTAGGGGAAATCTCCCAATGGGAACACCAGAATTAGTGTGAACTGTCTAAGGGCCATTCCACATTAGCCGCTGGTGTGAATTGGCACAAGTGATATTTCATTGAGTTCTACAGGCACAGCGGGGTGCAAGGTGGTTGTTTTGTGTCACATCCAGCTGCACTGAAAAAAGTACAGCATGCCATACTCTTTTTCAGCGCACACCACCACGTTCCCATTGCTACGCAGTGGTGTGAACCGAGCCCGTCCATGACGATGCAAATTGCCTTGTCTTCTGTTGGGGCTGCGCTGGAAACAACGGCAGCCCCAATGCTGTGAATTGGCCCTACGATGGGAGTTTGCATCACTTTGTAGAGATTTCCTCTCGCTTCCTCTTGTGTCTTTTAAGATGGAAGTAAAGGGAAATCTCCCCAAGAGAGACACAGCAATACATTGAGAGATTGAGAGGGGTTTTAAACCTTCTCTACTCCAAAAAAAAATCTACCTATACATACTTTATCCCTCTATCCCGGCTATGAAGACTTGCACTCAGAGTGATTCTTGAGGACTGTTAAGAACTGCTGTGTTATGTATAACACTACGTATGAAATTAATGTGTTCAGCTTGACTTTTTTTTTCTTTTTTTTCAGGGGGACTCAGGAGGTCCGCTGATATGTAAAGTGAAGAACAAGTATGAGTTGGTGGGAATAGTCAGCTGGGGGAGCAATATTTGTGACCCCGACACTCCAGCTGTCTACACCTCATTGGCAAAATACAGAGACTGGATAGAACAGCAGACCGGAGTATAATAAAATGTTATTCCATCATTGTTTGGTGTGACTCCATCTGCATGGCACCAGAATGGTTCAGACCTCTGAGTCCCCGTTCAACCCTTGGCTTCTGTGAACGCAAAACGTACAACACGCAGGAAAGAAAGGTGGAATGCTCACAGCTGCAAATGCTGCTTGAGCTACTTTTCTGTGATTGATGTTTGTGCGGCCAGCCCATTGATTGGATGGGCTGATGCATGACGACAGCTACAAAAACGCATGCAGACATTCACGCATAGCTAGGTGTGAACGGGGCCTTAGGTTTAACAATAGGCTGGTTAGCCTGTGATGTCCTCCCTTCCATGAATTACTATGCACAGAGTTCAGTTGAATGGAAAGAGGGGATGGGACTAAGCAGCACCTGCCTGAAGGGCTTTCATTCACATTGTACAGAGGCCAGGAGGAGGGAGAGGGTGGCAGTATTATACAGGATTTATAGAGCTCCAACATTTGGTACATTGCTTTACAAAATTTAGGGAGACGGACAGTACAGTTACAAGAGGGTTAGAAGGGCCCTGCTCGTGTGAGCTTACAATCAATTTAATGTATTCGGCACTGTGAGGCTATATCTATATACAAATTAACAGCTGTGTGTGTAATTAGGCTTGGCGTCTAGGCGCTGTCCCTAGCCGCGACACACTAGACCAGGGGTAGCCAAACTCCGGCCCTCCAGCTGTGGTGGAACTACAAATCCCATGAGGCATTGCAAGATTCTCACAGCCACAGACATGACTCCCAGAGAGAGATGCATCATGGGATTTGTAGTTTCACCACAGCTGGAGGGCCGGAGTTTGGCTACCCCTGCACTAGACCATTCCCTATTGAGCCTTCCCAATAATCTGGCCTTGCTTACAGGTCTTGTCTGTTCCCTAGCCTGTGACTAGACAGTGAAAGGAAAAGCAGCAAAATGATGAGATCCTTTCGCTGTCACTCTGCTTGGAACTGCAACATGTGCAGGCGCCATTTTTTATCACAGTGCATTACAACACACTGCAACATGTCGCAATGTGCTGCAGCAAATAGGACTTACATATAGCTTTAACAAAAAAAGAAATCGGTGTAGTATGAACCAGCCCTTAAAAAACTCCAGGAAAACCAAAAACGTACCCTTGCAGTTGGCAAACCACCGCCCGAACACCCCCCCACTGCAAGGGGTAGGTGCTGGTTTTGTCTAGAGGGGTCAAATAAAGCAGCTTTACTTACGTGATCCTCAGTCCTGCCAGGCTGCTAGTCCCATCCCCACAGTCTCTTCTCCCCTGGGCTCCAGTGGTCTAAGGACCACTGACGTCATCACATCTTATGCAGGTCCATTGACCTGCATTACACATGAGGACGCCGAGGGATATTCCATAGATGAAGGAGAGAGATGTGAGCGCTGGCCGTTGCAATAAAGCAAAACTGCTTTATTTGACCCCCCCCCCCACATGACAAATGG